GCCGGCCGAAGCTGAAGAGTGAACAACAACAACGACCCCCCCCTTGTCCCCCCTTCTCGCCCTCGCATCACCTCCCTTCACAAATATATACACTGCTGTTGTAAACAAGACAAAGGAAACAGAATTTGAATTTTCGTGAGTGTAAAACGGTTCAGTCACACAAACTGTTTGACCAGAATAAACATGGTGACAGGTTATGTCAAACAAAATTTACATCTAATTGTTCACCTGTGGTTAGCACACATGTCATAGCAGAGTGTCCGGGGTTCGATTCCCTAGAAGGCACATATCCCTAATAGCGCCTCCTGTGGCAGTCTGTCTGGGTCGTACATTGGGACTGATACTTGTTATTATTATTATCATTAATAACCATCCAGTCGTTGGTATTTATTCAATCACTCTGCATTTTTTTTATATATATATTTTTTTAAATTCCACTTTTTCTTCTTCAAAATGTTTTCCTGCTCCGTCTGTCGTTCCGTCACCGTGATGAGAAACAGTTGTTGCCCGGAGCTCCTGCTGCATCTCTGCTGATGAGAGTAACTGGATTAGCTGAACTGGTTGAACAGGACGGCGTCTGTTCCTTCACTTTATTACATCAGTGCAACAACAGAAAAGGTCACATGGGAATTCAATTAGAGGGAAAATCGGCTGGAAACACTCGGAGGGAGAGTCGACACCTCCGTCAGCCGTTAGTTAATCTGTCTCCTCAGGACACGCCCTCTAGGGGCTGTCAGTGGTATAACGAATATTTTAATATATTGAAGTCGCAGCTGAGGATGTGAGTGGTCACAGGTGTGAATGTGGTGTGAATGTGGTGTGAATGTGTAGACCCACTCACCCACTGTGCAGATTGTTGACCCCTCTCCCCCGTTCTCCCCCATTTGTCCAGCCATCCTTGTTTACAGAGTGTTTCGCAACGAGGAGAAGAAAAACGTGAAGATGCTCCACGGATTGATCCACCTGTTGGCCCTCGTCGTCAGCATCGTGGGTACGAAACCACAGGAGAGAGAGAAAAAATCAAGTGTCTGACGTCCACAGGTGTTTTTATTTGATTTTATCTTCTGTATCCGTGTGTGTTCAGGCGTGACAGCCGTGTTTGAAAATCACGCAGCGTCAAACATCACCCACATGTACACTCTGCACAGCTGGTGTGGCATCATCACCTTAATACTGTTCTTCTCACAGGTATGTGCACACACACACACACACACACACACACACACACACACACACACACACACACACACACACACACACACACACACACACACACACACACACACACACACACACACACACACACACACACACACACACACACACACACACACACACACACACACACACACACACACACACACACACACACACACACACACACACACACACACACACACACACACACACACACACACACACACACACACACACACACACACACACACACACACACACACACACACACACACACACACACACACACACACACACACACACACACACACACACACACACACACACACACACACACACACACACACACACACACACACACACACACACACACACACACACACACACACACACACACACACACACACACACACACACACACACACACACACACACACACACACACACACACACACACACACACACACACACACACATACCTGTGTTAACTGCCTGTGGAATAAGAACACTCACTCATCTTCTCCTAGTGGATCATGGGATTGCTCTTCTTCCTGTTTCCTGTTGCATCGTCACGGTTACGAGCCGCGTACCTCCCCGTCCACGTGGTGTGCGGCGTGGTCCTGCTGGTCATGTCCATCGGGACCAGTCTGCTGGGAATCACAGAGAAGCTCCTGTTCAGTATCCTGTACGTTTTTCTAACGTTTGGTTTAGTTTAGTTTTTTTGTTTGTTTTTTTGCGAGTAAATAATTTTTTTTCTCTGTGGTTTCAGGACCACCTACTCCTCATTTCCACCAGAGGGCGTGTTTGCTAACATTTTGGGACTGGTGCTGGTGAGTTTTGGCGTGGTGGTGGGCTATCTGATCACCAAGGAGGAGTACAGGCGCCCCCCCAATCCAGAGGAGTTGTCGCTGTCCGTCCACTTTAAGACCCTGACCGAGACCGGGTCGCCAACCACGCCTTGAACTCTAGACTGACCAATGACACCACCGATGTTCTGCCTGCCAACCAGCTGTGCTACCAGTGTTCACATCCTGTCGCCTTCGCTGCTTTAGTCTGACGTGGTTTTTATCAGAATCAGAATCGTTCATGTCACTGAAGCCCAAACTCGCCCACACCTCGCCCACACTGCCCTCTCTTATCACAGTCACTGTTTTTGTTTTCCATATTTTCTAGATGCTACACAGTAAATACTGTTCTTGTCATGACCTTGAATTTTCAGGAAACTGAATCAGAAGTTTTTTAATCTGATTACAAACGATAATACTTTAACAAAACCTGGACGTTGTCTTTGGAATTTTTGAAGCCCCACAAAAAAACATTTGTTGCTTTTCTTTCATGTAAAAATGTTATTATTTAAGATGCATTCATCGGCTGTACTTCCCATATTTAATGACACACAAAAGCTCAGACGTCATTGGCTGTAAATGAAAGAACTGACCTGCAGCCGAGAGCACAAGACGAAGCCACCACCAGGAGGCGTCGTTTTCCCGACACGTCAGCTCAATTCAGGATGATGTCATGGCCTTTAATAGTCAAAAAGCATAACAGAAAATGAGAAAGTTTGGTGAAAGAAAAGGTAGAACTGAGAAAAAAGTAAAAATGAAACCTGTTTAACCTCACAGTTTCAGTGAACTGTACCGAACTGTACCGAACTGTACCATGTGCCAATGTAGTCTGACTGTAAGTGTTGGTCCGTTGTTGTTGTTGTTGTTCTTCAGTCGTGTTTCTGTTTGTGCATATACGTCAGTCTGAAGCTTTAAAATTAAAGAATATTTTACCTTTCTCTGGACTTTATCATCAGATATTACAAAAATTACAAAAATACTTAAAGCAGCATTTTTTTTAAAATGGCATATAATTTAATTTTTTTAAACATCTCAAACACATTTGTTGAAACTGTATTTTTGTAAAACTTAATGTTATAAATTAAAACAAGCAAATAAAAAAAACAAATATGTGGAATTTAATCACATGTGAAGAAAATAATTCAAACGGTGAAACTTGTTCCGTCACACTGTGAACAGAGACACACATTTGACACAAGAAATAAAGATGAATAATTTTCTGTTTTCCACACACCTTTATTTCTCTGTTATGCTAACGTAGCAGTCGGTATTTTCACACAAACTTGAATATAAACACGATGTAAATGCATCATATGAACGTATGTTCTGACTTGACCTCCAGGACTTCAAATATTAACATCTTTAACACAGTGGAAAAACACACCCAAACACACTCACATGGACACCCACCCCCACCCAACTGTTCCAGAACTTTTTAACCACAGGGGGGGGCTAAATCCTACATATAGAGCAAAGCACGTGGTTTTATGACAGAGTTGAAATCTGTGGTGTGGCTCAAGGATTAATTTTTTTTTTTTTTTAAGCTTTTGCCTTTTTTTTTGACTGTGGAGGTTCCTCACAGTCTCCTGAGGGGTAAGAGAACGGGCAGTGATCAAGGAGGGCGACAGGTCAGAGGTCAGCAGCACCTCCGAGTCCAAACATCTGGTTCATTCCACAAACTGATGCATCTAAATCATCAGTTTATGCTTTAATTTTGTAATAATTATGTCAACAACTGTGAGTTGACTCAAAAACATTAGCACCCTTCCTTTAAAAGTGGAAAAGACAGAATGGCGCCCTCTGCTGAAACAAGTTAGTTTCCATGTAGAAAGGACAATTTGGAGGAAACTTTTTGACATCAGAATAATTTGAAGTTGTCCTCACAATCCTCCTCAACATGTATGACCCACACACACACACACACACACATACCAGAGTGGCACCGACCCTTTGAGCACAGCAGGGTTTTTAACCTAAGACCTGTTACAGCGAAACCTCATAATAAATAAAAGGATTTTCAAAAAATGAATTGAAATGAATCGATTTCTTTTGCTGGATCCTCAACCCAAATGACAGACACAGAACCTTTAACCTAGCATTTTCAACTCACTGTACGGGTTAGCCTAGCCTGATTAGCTTATATCTCTTCATACTTTAACCCCAAATGGAAACTTAAAATAGTAAATATATGACTATGGAGCTACTTCAGGTTGCTGGGAAAAACAAAGTACAATAGCTAACTAGCTGGCTAACCTCCGATAGCATCACTCAACTAGCTAACAGGAGGAGAAGCTACAGAATTTATTAGACTGTGGTTGAACCAGGTTCATTTTTTAACTTTTTCGTCATGTGTTACTGATAAAACAGTTTTTGACTTTCGACGCTAGCAGCAAACTAGTTAGCCAAACATACTAGTTTGCAGCGAACACCTAAGCACACGAGCGGATCAGAGGTTTAATCGCTACATCTGTACTGGAAGTTTGTTCCAGTTGCGGTAAGCTAACCCTGAACAAAGCAAAGACTGTGTGCTATTGATAACTGCAAAGATAGTTTTGACAAATGAGCCAAAGAATGTGCTTCGTGTCATGGTCAGTTACTGACTGTGTCGCCACCTTGTGGGACATGTAGGAAAAATAGTAGCAAATTGTTTGATGACCACTTGTGAACTGTTGTAGTTAAAAAAAAAAGCAATTTAAAAAATAAATAAAACCAAAAAAATAAATCAATTGCAACTGAAAGTAAAACTAATATAAATGTCCGCTAGAGGGCGTTGTCTTAGCTCCTTGAGTAGACAAGCAGGAATAGAACTTTTATGTCACTGTTGATTTTTTTTGTCTGCTACAGAACAGTATTATTCAGTATTAGTGAATAGTCCCTTTAAAATAAAAATGGCGCCCTCTATTGGCCACAGTGAAAAGTAAAAAAAAAACTCTATGCAAGCTACAGTCATAACTTAAAAAAAAAAAGATAAATACCACATAACTATGTTTTATAAACAATAAGTCAGTGCTCATTCAATGACAGCATCTTCCTTGTTTCTTAAACTATGGCTTAAGGACTGGGTCTTGGACCACAGGATTCCAGTCACATTATCACTAACGAGCTTTAAACCTGAAATGTAAACAGTAACAGCGGTACTCATGTGTCGTTTTAGATTAAACTATTTAGAATCTGGTTGATGGTTTTTAGAATTTCTGTTTTGTTTTTTTTCCTTCATCATCTCTAGAAGTGCTTTAGAACCTTTAGAACGTTCTCTTCATTCTTGGTCATTCCTCTGGTTCTCTAACCTACAGATCTGACCCGCTCTCTCTGACCCACGTCTCCTGCTCCCCCCCCCCTTGTTCCAGTCCAGTATCAGCACTCTGTTGTCAGGCAGAACTTTCCTTCCTGACAACAGAACCAGAACCTGTGCTTTACTCTCCAGGTTTTGTGCATCAAACGAAGCATGCGACCAAAGTTCCCGTCGTGTTCCGCACCGTTGAACGTATTATTGCATCTCGTCTGAACGCTGCAACAAGAACTTGGCGTAGAAAAAAAAAAAAAAACTATTTTCAAGCATCGTCCAATCGTGGAACCCCAGCGTCTCCATGAGGAGACCGCGGCGTTCATCTACACTCTTCTACACGTTGGACTCCACAAACGGCCGTTTTGGTTTGACCGGAGACGTGGGCCCCGTCTTCTGCTCCGCCGGTCGGTCGGAGCAGCCGTGGATCACAGGAAGTGTCCGGGCCAGTTTCACGTCCACATACGGTGGAATATGACTGGCGACCTGCACCAAGCCCTCCCCCTGACGACCACTGGATGGCAGCACCTCATAATAGTTGAGCTGGTCGTCATGTAGAAGGTGACCGTTGTGGGCGTTGTTGTTACTGCGGTTGTGGTAGGCGATGGAGGAGGGCGGGGGGTGACTGAACCCTGCGTGACCACCGGGGTTTTTACTGGGTGACGTCACCACCGTGTCCACCGACGACACGGCCCAGGAGCGGGAGGGGCTGAGGCAGGAGGAGGAACTAGAAGGAACCGGCTGCTGGAACTGCTGGTGAACCCTCACCGTCTTATCAGTGACGCCCATAAAAGGAGTGCTTCTGGAGGAGCGGCCCACCTCCCCGGGATAAGTGCCCCCTCCTGACATACCTCCTTCTGACTGAGAGGAGGGGAGCAGGAAGAGATCGTCAGCGTACCCGGTACCAGAGGAACCGTCTGGAGCCGAGTCGATGTGCTGCGTAGAGAACGATGTCCTGAACGGTGAACCGTGATTGGCTGCCTGTCCACCGGCGTGGCTGGGGGCCCCGGCGCTGGGGGGGGGAAAGAGACCGGGGCCTTTGGTTTGG